ACTACTACGTTACTACGTTACTACGTCTACGTACTTCGTACTTACTACGTACTACTACTCTACTACTCTCTCTCTCTCTCTCTACTCTCTCTACTCTCTCTCTCTCTCTCTCTCTCTCTCTCTCTCTCTCTCTCTCTCTCTCTCTCTCTCTCTCTCTCTCTCTCTCTCTCTCTCTCTCTCTGTTCTCATGTGCTTTAAAGTTTAAACTTGTATCCCTTGAATAGTTTGTCATCCATAGGTAAAAGAGTTGTTCTTTTTTAGTAGATTGGTTTCTGTATTAGAAATGAATGTTTGATACTTTTTTACTCCTTAATTCTTTGCAGTAAAAATAAAAAATTACATGAATTGTAGAAGTAATATGCATATTTTAGACTTTCCAAGAGCACATTTAGGCCAAAATTATAATTTCAAGACTTACATTGCTATTTTAATGGTTTCTTTGGTTTATAAGTATTGTTGAATTGATTCTTGAATAAAAAGCCTGTTACTTCCTGCTCATAATCATTAAATCTTGGACTTATCAATAGATCAATTATTTCTCATTCTGTCTAAAAAATATTAAATGTTTTGTGACTTGCAGCTCATAATCAGTAAATCTCTATATTTTCCTTTAGTATGATTTAAATGCTATGTTGCTGGTCAGGATCTTGAATAATAATATCAATACTTTCATCGTTTTCTTTGTTTATTTAGTAGGTTTCATTTACTATTATTCCTTTCTTTCTTCTTTTGGACCTTTTAAGACCCACGGGGAGTGTTTACCTTTGGATGTGGGGGCCGCAAATTTCATTTTTTTTTTTATGAACTACAAATCTTTTATTGACATTCGGATTTTGCTAGCTCAAACACAAATGAAAGTGGATACAAAGACTAGAGCAAATTTCCAAGCCAAAAAACAAGGCAAAATGGATACCTTCAACAAGCCACGTGCTAAAAACCAAGTTAAGTGAATAAGTTACAATCTTTTTACATAACAATTACAACCATTAATAGCCTTGTATAACCACTGTAAATAAACTCAAATACTAACCCCTTATGGGGCAATTACATATAAAGCAAGACTAGCTTATGAATTACATTTTCATAGCACAAATTACATAAACTATGTCCCAAAGTTTCAATACATCATGCAACTAATCTAAACAAAATTTTAAAGAATAAAATCAACTAAACAAGGAATTAGAATGCCAAATTAAAATAGGGAAGCCATGTTTAGAACCCCTTGTGCCGGGACCACGCAATCGGGCCCTATAAGGAATTAATTTTGTCGCTTCGGATTGTACAAAAGTGGTTCAATCTTACAAGAGTGTCTAATCCAAATGGGAATAAGTTGCACACCTTAAAATCACTTCTTAAAATCCTAACACACTGGCATTATCATCCAAAACAGAATGAAAAAGGTTTGAATCGAATCGGATAAAAAACAAGAGTTATAGCTAAACTACACACGATGGTCCCTCGGACCATCAAAACAGTCTTGTATGGAAAGATTAGGAACCCCCTTAGGTAAAAACGTAATGAAGAAGTTCTGAAAATGGAGTGACACTTCGAGACTAAATTATTTGATGGGTTTGAAGCAAAGTAATTAATGGATACTATGCATGATCATGGATTTTCATGTATATAGGCTATAACTCATGAAGGACCACACTATGAATATAAGCATGATGAAAAAGATGATCAAATGGGACTTCTAAGATCAATGAAACTTTTCTAAATTCAAAACTCCAGCATCTATAGATGCTAAAGACATGATCTTATGAGAAAAGAAAATTCAATGGAGTTTGCCTTGATAAATGCACACTATGGACTTAAGCATAAGAAAGGAGGACCACCATCAAGATCACCATTAATGGAACTCTAAAATCTCTCTCTCTTCAATTTTCTCTCAGAAACCCTAGAAAAAGGAGGGTAGCAACAATTTTCCAAAATGGTTCGAGAGTTGAGATAGTTAGGGTTTGAGATCTTATGATGTGCTTTTAACATGGGTGTAACTTTGGATTCAATCAATACCCTTGATGCACTTATCCAAAGGAACATGAGAGGTTAATGTACCTAGTCACCCATCCCCATCCAACCACTAGGATGAAGGGATGAGATGTCACACCATTATCATTCACCCAAACCCTAAGTTATGTCACTTTACCATTTTGTCCTTGGCTCATGTTTTTGTTCCAATTGTATCCAATATGGCCTTACAAAAATACCCTTAGTTTTTTTTAATAATGTATTAGAGTAGATAACCGCAAAGGCTAAAGGGTAAAGAAGTAATTGGCAAAGTTCACACATGTGTAGATATTCTACTTTATCAAAGCCAATCACTTTGTAAATCTAAAATTTGAAACCAATCAATTTAAAGTTGCGGAACTTAAAGCCATATACTAGGCTTCCATGGTAGATAGGGCTACAATGTCTTGCTTCTTGGTGCGTCAAGAAATGACACCACCCCCACAAAGAAATAAATAACCCGAAGTGGATCTCGAGTCATCCAGGTCTCCTTGATAGTCGGAGTCTGTATATCCCAAAACTTTAAGCTCACTCACATTGCCATAGGTTAATCCATAATCAAATGTTCCTTTCAAATACCTCATGATTCTTTTCACGGGTTTCCAATGTTCTAATCCAGGATCACTTTGGAATCGACCAATTAAGCTTTGAGCAAAAGCTAGATCGGGTCTAGTTCCCATGGTTAAATACATTAGTAATCCTACGGCACTCCGATATGGGATCCTTTCCATCTCATTTCTCTCAAGATCATTGTTTGGTTTTATATTGACATTTAATTTTCCTCTCCTTTCCACAGGTGTATCTATAGGTTTGGATTCACTTATACCAAATCTCTCAAGAACTTTCTTACAATATGTAGATTGAGATAATTGAATAGTGCGGGCTGCTCTATCTCTTATAATATGAATCCCTAACACATATGAAGCCTCTCCCATATCTTTCATATCAAAGTTACTTGATAGCATTGCCTTTGTGTCCCTTATATGGTCTAGGGTGCTACTAGCTATTAGAATGTCATCCACATATAAAGTCATAAAAGTAATGCCAGTCCCATTGGTCTTATGGTATACACAATGGTCATCCTCATTTGGTTTGAATCCATATCTAATTAGGGTTTGGTGGAACTTGAGGAACCATCTTCTTGAAGCTTGTTTGAGACCATAAAGTGATTTGTTAAGTTTGTACACGAATTTTTCGTTTCCTTTCACAACAAAGCCCTCGGGTCGGTTCATGTATATATCCTCTTCTAGGTCACCATTTAAGAAGGTGGTTTTCACATCCATTTGATGCAATTCTAGGTCAAGGTAGGCTGCTATGGATATGATCATCCTAATGGAAGGCATTTTGGCAATAGGTGAGTAGGTGTCAAAATAATCTACCCCTTCCTTTTGAGTAAAACCTTTTGCTACAAGTCTTGCCTTGTATTTTTCAATACGCCTTTTGGAGTTAAGTTTCTTTTTGAATATCCACTTACATCTAATGGATCTAAGGTTAGGTGATAATCGGACTAACTCCCATACATGGTTCCTTATGATTGAATTTATCTCACCTTGCATGGCTTCCTTCCATAACTTATTATCCGGATAAGACATAACATATAGGTAAGAATAAGGTTCATCATCGGGTTCTTCATTAATCCTCTCATAGTCCTTCCTAAGGTAAGTGAAAAAGGTAGGTGGTCTCTTTATTCTCTCACTTCGCCTAAGTGGGATGGTTTCAATTTCTTTGTTAGGCTGAAGCTCATGGAAGTCTACTCTCTTTTGGGTTGATTCTCTCTCGAGGAATTCATCTTCAAGGAAATAGGCATCAAGGCTTTCAATCACATTACGATTCAAGAGGTTATAAAACCTAAAACCCTTCCTATGACTTGGGTATCCTATGAAAACACATTTTATGTTTTTAGGATCAAGTTTGGACTTATTTTGGGATGGTATGAGAACATGGGCTGAACATCCCCAAACCTTGAGGTGCTTTATTGAGGGAGGTGGGCCCATGAGGAGTTGGTAAGGAGTTGATTGAATTGCTTTGGTGGGAGTCTGATTAAGGACATATGTGGCGGTTAGAATCGCCTCTCCCCAAAACTCTAATTCAAGATTAGCGGTACTCAACATACTTCGCACCATCTCAATTAAGGTCCTATTCCTTCTCTCGACAACCCCATTTTGTTCGGGTGAGTAAGGCATGGTGGTTTGGTGGACAATCCCATATTGGACACAAAGATCTTGGAAGGCTTGGGAGGTGTATTCTCCACCCCTATCTGATCTAAGGTTTTTGATGGTTTGACCTAGTTGGTTTTT